AGCTTGGCTGTGCCGGCTCACACACTGGGGAAGTGAAGCACTTGTTTATACAGAATTACGTGAGCACCTTACAGACAAATCAAGCAGACAGCACCAAATCTTGGCTTTTCCAAGGATGAGAGGATCTTTTCAGGCCAGCATATGGGCTTTCTTGTGTTTAGTACAGTCAAACCAAATTATTTATAATTCCAATATCACAGAAAGTCTCTGATAAAGAAATTAACTTCCCAGCTCCCTTTCACTGATAAAAAAATTAATGTTTCATTTAAAAGCTGTAAGTATAGAACTGAGGGGGACTTCCATATCAGTGTAGAAAAGGGATGTTTTTCTTTAGGGGTACTGTGAAGAATCACAGCAACCTCCATCTCTTGTCATGGGAGAAAGGACATGAACAAACAAAACAATGCTGCGTTTGAAATTTGGATCTGTCCTTTATTACTTACATAGCACTGGACAAGCTATGCAAGCAACTGATATGTGCTGCTTCACTATCTTATGCAATAATATTACAGTTTTTAAATGTGAGCTTCCATGTTTCCTATCTCAAAAAGATTTTAATCTCCCTTTCTAGTTATTCAGATAAATCTAAGAACTTTAGGGGCCTATTCATTCAAGTTGTTCCTTGCGATAAATGCCTTAGAGAGAAAAATGAAAAAATTAATTGGGGCACTGGAAGGCCCTATTCTCTACTACCATTACTGCTCTCAAACCATGGATATTTCCCTTTATTACTCCTCTTTAGTTTTCTTCCCCTTCCTCTGCTTCCTCTTCCTCATTCTCGCAGTCTCAGACATTCATATCACACACACACACACACACACACACACACACACACACTCCCCACTACCTAAAATGAACCACCCTCTGAATCTGGTATGAAGCCTGAATCACCACTCAGATTTTCCTTCCTTGAATAGTGAGTCCTGCTATTAATGACTTCTGGTGTCTTCTCTGCTAAGTGCCTCAGTTAGGGTCTCTGTAACCCACCAGAGATGTTCTAATAACATTAAACCTCAAAAGGGATCCATGAATTTAATATGAGAAAGCAATCAGATAAAGCCAGATTATGCAATATGGCATAAGACAAAAGGCCTTGACTCTTCAAACACATCAGTGCCACGAAAGACCAAAAACAAAACAAGGTGAAACAAGAGAACTCTTCTAAAATTAGAAGAGATTAAAGATATATAAGAAATAAATGCAATGTGATCCTCAGTTGGATCTTGGATTGGAAAAGAGAAAGCTATAATAACTCATCACTGGTGAAACCGGGAAACCATGAACATGGACTATCTGTTATTACATCATCATTTGACTTCATGGGTGTGACCATGGGATTGTGGGTATTGAGAAGACAACCCTTCATGGAAGATAAAGGGGAGAAAAAACAATTAAAAGAAAAAGAGAAAAAGCAAATGTGGCAAAATGTCACATATTGTTGACTCTAATTGAAGAACAGTTACATGTTAATTATATTAGTCTTACAACTTTTTTTGCAATTCTAAAGCTTTTAAAAAATAAACAGAAAACCTATAGAATAGGAGAACATATTTGCTGATACATCTGATAAGGGGCTAGTTTTCAAAATTTATAAAGACCTTAAAAACTCAACACCAAAAAAACCAAACAACCCAATTAACAAATGGGCAAATTACCTGAATAGACACTTCTCCAAAAAGGACACACGGATGGCCAATAAACATATAAAAAAGATGCTCAATGTTACTGATCATCAGAGAAATGCAAATTTAAAACACAATGAGGTATCATCTCACTGTCATCATATTATCTGTCATCTGTCAGAGTGGCTGTCATCAATAAATTAACAAACAACAAGTGCTGGCGAGGATGTGGAGAAAGGGGAACCCTTTTGCCCTATTGGCAGGAATGCAGACTGGGGCAGCCAGGGTGGAAAGCAGTATAGAGATGCCTCGAAAAATTAAAAATGGATCTGCCTTTTGACCCAAGCATCCCACTTCTGGGAATACATCTGAAGCAACCCAAGACACTAATTGGAATGAATATAAGCGCTCCTATATTCATTACAGCATTATTTATAATCACCAAGATTTGGAAGCAGCCCAAGTGTCCATCAGTAGATGAGTGGATAAAACAACTATGGGATATTTATGCAATAGAATACTACTCAGCCATAAAAAAGAAGAGAAATTTACCCTTTGTGACAATGTGGATGGACCTGGAGAACATTAAGCTAAATGACATAAACCAGTCAGAGAAAGATAAACACCACACAATTTTACTCACATGTGGAATCTAATGAACAAACTGAACAAGGCAAATGGGGACAGACTCACAGATGAAGAGCGGATGACAGCTGTGGTGGTGGGGTGGTTAATGGAGAGATTGAGCAAAAATAAAAGAGGACTCCTCAACATTGTGGCGATTGCTGAGGAGGAGGGGAGTAAAAGGGGACCAAATGGTAATGAAAAAATACAATAAAAATTAAATAGAAAAAGATGTATAGGAAAACAGATTCTATACAGCGAGGAGGAAAGGTCTCTAAATCTCAATAATTTTGCTACCGAGAGAGACAAGCACTCCTATTCTATCAAATTAATACTTCTTCCCATAGTAGGTTTGGACTTTTCTACAAAGAAGGTGTTTGATGAAGATGCTACCCTTTCCAAACACAAAAAAATTCCTCCCCCCATGGAACAAGAAAAATCCGCCTGCCTTGCTGTGCCACCTATAAGGGGACTGATGGAGACCATGCTTCCAGAGCAGGTCATCTCCACCCAGGAGACTTGGCGATCTCAGCCACCAGAAGCAGCAGCTACTAGCAAACCTTCTCTCAATTAAAAAAATAATAAATAAAGTTTACCATTCCACTGCACTGTGGTGAAATGGAGTTCTGTTTTGTGCCATAAAGCAAGGGAAAAAACCTATCTACCTCAAACAGTTATTGCAACAGCTCAGCGCCATCATACAAGGCAGCCTCCAGTACCGGGCTCACCAGAGGCATGAGTCATATCTTTGGCTCTCTTTTAAGAGTACAACAACAAAAACACCTCACTGAATATATCTAATAATCTGGTCTTTAATAAACAAACCCCCTTGCCAATCCTTGCTCCTTTAAATTATCATTTAAAATGGCAGAGAGATACATTTCCTTCCCATCCCCAATACTCCTTGGTAAGTGTGCTTCTTCTTCCAGAGAAGAATGTGCTTCCCTTGGAAAACTCAGTGGCTCTGAAAGGAATCGTTACTTCCTCCATAAAAACACCTACAAAATTAAATTTCTAAATTTTGATAAACAAAGAATGCTACACAGAGAACTTCAAAGACTGGTCCAGTCGCTTCTTGTTAGGTACTAAAGGTTGAGAGGCTTGGACAGTCTTTCTTACTTAATAGCAGGGCTGACACTGAGAAAGAGCCCAGACACAGGGCAGCAACAACGTGACCCTTCTCGCTTCTAAACGTGTGTACTGGTTTCAGTGCGTATTTCCCTGGCTCAGCCAGAGCGAGGACTCCCTAAGAAAAAGGTTGCCCGTGGCAGGCACAGAAAGCCACTAGCCTGTAATAAAAGGGTGTGCAAGAGCTCCCCTAAATTTCCCCCTTATGCCACGTCATGGACACCATATCAGTGGCTCTTCCTGTCCTCTGCACTTACATCTTTCCACAACAAATACTGAAGCCATGGCTCATGGGGCGGAACAGGCTTCAGCATCGCCTAGGAAACTGTGAGCTCCAGCAGAAGCTCTACTAGACAAAGCAGCTGAACTTTGTCTGTGACCGGTCAGGAACAACAGGGAATGTTCACAAACCATGAGGCTGCCCACCACTAGGGGCTGCATATCATCCTAAGAAAAGACAAATCAGCTTCAGCACAACTGGAGCTCCTGGGGGCGTTCACTTCCACTCTCACGGTGATCGAAATGCACAAGCTGATCGGCCAAAATCATATTATTATTATTCTGCTCAGCAGTAGAAGGGACAGTGGGGAACATCTCACTGACCAAAACACAGAAGAGGGAGAAATGTCTTCTCAAGGCATTCTACTCTGGAGGAGCTGGGTGGCTTGCAGAGAAGGCGCAGGGCAAAACGAAAATAAGCGAGGTTGCGGAGGTGACTGAGAGTATGGAAAAGGTAGAGACGTACCTATGCCCCCTCGACTTGAAGAGTAGGTGGATAAACTTCACACAGCTTGTACCACTCACATCCCCATAAACCAACAGATGGAACCTCGAATTGCCAAGTTCTCATGCATTTAACAGTGATGCTAATCAGGACACTGGATTTGCCAAATACCAATAAAGTGCACACAGTGAGGTGAGTATTTAGAATCCGACGCTACACCTTCTGCCTCCCTTCAGCGAGGAAGGCACTCCTTCCGCATTAGGTAAACTTCCGCAAGAGGCAGCAGGGACGTGGGTCCGGCCACGTAAACGGAAGGTAACTGGTGACCATGAGAAAGACAGTCGTCACCCTTGTCCACAGGGGATAGGTTCCAAAGCCCCCAAGGGATTCCTGAAACCCCAGATAGTACCAACCCTTACATATACTGTTTTTCCTATACATACATATGATAAAGTTTAATTTATAAGTTAGGCACTGTAAGAGATTAATAGTAGCTAATAATAAAACAGGATGATTGGAACAATATACTGTAATAAAAGCTATGTGAATGTGGTCTCTCTCTCTCTCGAAATATCTTATTGTGCTGTACTTACTTGCCCTTCTTTGGATGAGATAACAAAAAAGCGTAAATTGACCACTTCCAGCTTTTCACTGCAAGGTAGCACTTTACGGCTTCTCTTTGGGCCTCTGCAGACATTAGTAACTAAAATAAGGGTGACTCGAATGCAAGCACAGTGCACCCCAACCGTCCATTTGATAACTGAGCAGCTTCAGTTACTGAGTACTGAGCAACCAAGCAGAGAGCACCTACTGCGCAGATGCCGAGAAAAGGGGCGATTCACATTCTCGGCAGGACGCGGGACTCGCGAGATTTCATCCTGCTACTCAACACAGTGCGCAACTTAAAACTTACAAACTGTTTATTTCTGGGTTTTCCAGTTAATCTTTTGGACTGTGCTGACCGTGGGTAACTTAAACCATGAAAAGCAAAACTACAGATAAGGGAGGACTTCTGTATTTACCTTTCCCATACAAAAAAATATAGAGGTGACCCCTGCAGGTCCTTCACATCTATTATTTCACAGGGCTCATACTGAGTACTGCAGCGACTCTCATCCTAAAGGACAGTCAACAGAGTAGCTATTACACTAAAATATTAAGGCAACCTAGCAAACAAACTTCAAGAACTCTGCAGTCTATATCATTCTGGAACTTTTCGAAATCAGTCCTTGAACACTAGGCCCCAGAAGTCTTGAGCTGAAAAGTTCTGATTCCTGTCCACCAGCCACCTCAGTGCCTGGGCTTCTTTCTTGGACTGTTCGAAGCTGGGGATCCACATCTCTCGCAAGGAGCTCCAACGTGGAGCCATGGGTGAGAATGCAAACACCGCAGGCTCCGGGCAGCTCAGGTGGGTGACTTCCGCCTTCCATCTTTTGGGTGGTAAGCCCTGTATTGAGAGAAGAGGGAAGGAAGAATTGAAAGCACGTGCTGAGGAAGCCAGACCCTACGATCCTGCCTTGCAATAACAGAACCCAGCATGTACATTCCCTAAAGCACTTATTTCACTCCATGGAGTCTCCGTAGTTATATAATCAAATAGTTGAAGGAGTTAGAAAATATCTAACATTATTGAGAATATTCTGTGCACTAGACACTCTCCGAAGCAGTGACACAGACTGTCTCACATAATTCTCATGGCAAACAAATGAACTAGTCGCTACTACCCCATTTTACAGAGGTGAGACTAAGGCTCCAAAAACTTACATAACTTTATGCCTACGATTGAAGCCAGTTAGCCAGTTCTCTCCAGATTCTAAAGCTGCCCACCCCCCGTTATTTGTTTAGTGATTTATTTCCTTTTCCCTCACATCTCACTCCCACTACCATCCTCCCCAAACATTTTAATGTGTTTAATACAGTTCTTTGTATTTAAATGTTTCTTTTAATGTGGTTTCATTTTCTGGGCATTTATTTTTAATTTACTTGTATGTTATCATATGTCTCATTGTTTGCTACTTTCTCACCAAGTACTGTTTTTACACGTATTCATGTTGCCACATGTACATCTGATCCCTTGTTTTTAATGTATTTCCACTGCGCTCAACTGTCTCCTACACCAAGATGTTGGCACTAAACAACAACACTTGACATTTGCACAACACCGCCCAGCCTTCGAAATGCTTTTACAAAGACCTGTAGCACAGAGAGCTTGGTCCAAGCTCTTGGTTATTTCCATGGTCTCCTAGCTGGTCTTCCTGACTCCACCTTTGATCCAATGCAGGCTAAACTCAGCAGCTATTTGCATTACAAGATAAAGTCCTTACAATGGCCTACAAGACCCTTTCAGGATTTGGTCCTCTGATAACTTTCTAAGAAAGGGGAGAAGGAAGGGAGAAAGGAAAGAAATGAGAGGAAGCAAGAGAGGAAGACAGCCACACTCCAGCAGACTGAACACACACATCAAATTTCATTCCCTCCTGAGACACCATTAAAAGGAGAGTAAAAGAATTATTCTAAGAAAATACTAACCTGTAGGAACTAGGAGAATGGAAGAAGGCAGAAGAGTAACAAAATATCAGAGAATAGAAGGCAGGCGGAAAAATCGTAAATCACTTAACATATTTTAAAAATGAAACATAAGGCAGCAGTAGGATGAGCTGGAACTGGTCTGTTTTATACTGCAGAGCTCTAAAGGCTCCAGAGGCACTGGGCACTCCTGCCAGTGGGGCGGGGGGCAGTAATGTAAGAAGAGTTCGTAGGAAATCTGCTTACAAAGCAGTCGGGTACTCAGATTCCTTCACTTCCCCTGACCAGGTGTCTCCCTTTTCTTTATCTGACAAGACTACAGCCTTATTCCCCAGAGAAATAAAACATAAGATCTCTGACCTGGAGAACAGCAGGCAGAGTTGAGGGCAGCGGTGTGATGCTATAAACAGAAGGATTCAGTGAGCATCTGAGTATCATTGCTCAGAGGGTCTGAGCAATGCTGGTAGCCAGGCCTCACACAACCCAGGCAGGAAAAGTGAGCAGTCCTTCCCTGGGGAACGAGGCAGGTCCAGAAGGACATAACCCAGATATTCTATAGGGAAGCCACCTAGCCAACTCACCCTACAACAAAGCTCACAGCCACTGTGCCCTCCCTAGCACTCAGAACTGCCAATCAGAGGACACTAATATGGGTAGGTTGCCAAGATGACAAATCATCCAAGGAAAGTTACCAAAATGAAAAACAGAGATAAGGCACCAAGAAAATTTTAGAAAACTTCAAAAGAGAGAGAGAGACATAAAAGAAGATCAGTGAAAAAATGAATCAGTACCAGCAAAGGAAATATTAAGAAAACCACAAAAATTAAGCCTTAGAAATTAGATATATGATAGCAGAGTGAAAGAATTCATAGAAGGGTTGGAAGACAAAGTTGAGATACATTCCATCAATTAGAAGAAAAAGATAAAGAAATAGAAAAGGCATTTGCATATTGGACGACCTGGTTGGTTATTTAACATTAGAGGACCAGTCTCAGAGGACCAGTAGACAAATATTAAGAGTTCCAAAAAAGAGAAGGGAAAGAAAATAACTTTTAAAGTTATGAATTTTCCTCAAATTGAAGCACCTAAGCTTCACGGAGAAACTTAAGGCCCACTGAGAACTCAGGATGATCCAAGTAGTCTCTGGCCAAAGTATGGTGCATTTTTATGAAAGTTCAGAACAGAAGCAAGAAGGAAGAGATTCCACAGACTCCCTGAGAGGAAAAGTCCAATTCTTAGGATAGTTCTGGATTTCTTGACAGTAAGACTGGAAGAGAAAAATCAAGGGTGAGATTCAGTGAAGAAGGTTAACATTAGTAAACTTTAAGGAGAAAAAGAATATTTTCTCAACCTCAAAGTATCTCCCCACAAATATTTATTAATTGTTGTGGTAGTTTTAATACATGTTCCCAAATTATTTAATATTCCTCCTTCAAGGAGGTGAAGCTTAGTTCCCTCCTCCCCTCTTTGAGCGTGAGCTGGACTCAGTGACTCACTTAGTGGAAGGGAAATTAGGAACCTGACAGTGGCAAAACCTATCAGATACCACCTTAACCAAGAGATCGAAGTTAGTTAGCATCATCGGTAACTGCATCATGCATCTCCTGATACGATGGGAAGAGAAGAACCCTTTCTCCTCTGTGGTATTATTTCCCCGAATCCAAAACCCAAGCCTTAACATGAGAGAACATCAGACAAACCCTAGGTAGAGGCCAGTACTCTTCAAAAGTGTCAACATTATGAACAATAAGTAAAGAATGAGCAGATTGGAAGAGACCAAGGAGACGTGATGACTAAGTACAACCTGGTATCCTGGAATTGATGCTGGAGGATATCCGTGGGAAAGCTGGTGAAATACCACTGAAGTCTTAGTTCGGTCAATAGTAGTGCACCAATGTTAGTTTCTTAGTGTTGACAAATGTGCTGTGATTATGAAAATGTGTAATTAGGGGAAGCTGGGTGAAGGAAATACAGAAACTCCGTGCAATACGTGTAACACTTTGCCAATCTAAAATCATTTCAAAATTTAAAGTTTTTTAAAAGATAATAAAAAACGCCTTCAAAATTCCTTAGAAAAACTGATGCCCATTTTAGTAGTTTACACTCAGCTAACCTATTGCTTAAATGTGAGAGTAGAATGAAGGCATTTCAGATACCCCCGTTGTACCCCTCCTCAGGAAGCTGTATGGAGGTATGGTCAACCAAAACAAGAGAGAAAACCAAGAAAAAGAGATAAAAGCATGCAAGAAACAAAGGTGTCAAAACAGGAGGAAAAGACAAGAAAGGCAATTCCCAAAGGGTCGGGGGAGGGAGACCTCAGGCCGATGCCCTACACTGCATGCAGAAGGCGGCCAGTACACCTGCGAGCAGGTCAGAACACCGCACGAGACTGCTTCAGCAACTGGAGTGGATGACTGGTACATTTCAACATCTTCAAAGCAGATGTAAACAATCACCATGAATTAAATTAGTAATAAGTCCACAGAGAAGTAATCAAACAAGAAGACAATTATTAACTAGAGGGAAACAAAATGCTATACAGGCAAAGGAAACAAATGATAATATAAAATAAGGTGCATCTCTGAATAACACTCATAATTACATATACATTGAATATTAAAAAATAGTGCATGAACATGTTATTTAGAAACATTGAGTAAGTACCAAAATAATTAGCTAACTATGGATGTGAGTGCTTCCAGGGAGGGGAAAAAGCAGAAAGTGAAAGACTACACTTATGTTTTTTTTTATTATTTAACTATAGCTATATATAATGTTATATTAGTTCCAGGTGTACAGTATAGCAATTCAACATTCATTATGCCTTACAATGTAATCACACTAGTCTAGCAATCATCCTGTCCTTTGAAAAAGAGCAGAATTGGAAGATTGACACTACCTCATTTCAAGACTTACTATGAAGCTACAGTACTCAAATGCAGATGTATTGACCAATTCGGAAATGATCCATATATATACTGGACAATTGATATTTGAGGAAGAAGCCAAGGTAATTCAATCAGAAAAGAAGGATCTTTCCAACAAATGGTGTGGATATAATTGGGTATTCAAGTAAATAAAGCTCAACTCTTACATCATAAAACATTATAATAAAAATTAACTCCAAGTAGACTATAGAATTAAATGAAAAGTTAAAACTATAAAATCTCAGGAAGAAAACAGAAGCAAATCTTAGTGACCTGGAGTTAAACAAAGATTTGAAACAGATCATAAAAAAGCATACACTATAAAAGAAAACAATGACAAACTGGACTCATCAAAATAAAAACCTGACACTTCAAAAGACAGTGTTAATAAAAAAGATAATATTGAATGTAAACTGTAATGTTAAAATAAAATTAAAAAAAGAAAATCCATAGGCTGAAAGAAAACTTCTGTTAATTACAAAATTGACAAATAACTTGTATTCAAAATACATAAAGAATTCTTACAACTCAAGATTATGAGAACAACTCAGTTCTCAAAAAATGAGCAAAAGATTTAAAGAGACACTTCACCAAAGAAGATATTGATAGCAAATAAACCATTAAAAGATACTCAACATCATTAATTACCACAGAAATGTTCATTAAACCACCATGAGATACCACTATACACCCATCAGAACAGCAAAAACTTAAAAACTGGCCACACCCATTGTTATTGAATGCAACTATCAGACAATGCTGGTGGGAAAGTAAGATGGAACTACTTTGGAAAACGGTTCAGTAGTTTCTCAAAATGTTAAACATACATCTATCACAGGATCTATCCATTCCACTTCCAGGTACTTACAGGGAAAAAATGAAAGACTATATCCTTACAGAGACTTACACATAAATGTTCATAGCAGCTTTATTTGTAGTAGCCAAAAACTGGACATAACCCAGACATCCATCAACAGGTGAATGGCTAAGCAAA